GGTTAAAGGAGTTGGGTGTGGACATGACTGGGTTTGACTGGACCTTTGGAATAGGGAAATGGTTAGGAGATATAGGACGCAAAGTCCTGGTTAGAATAATTGTGATAGTTTGGAGTTTGCTGATAATATACCTGATGATTTTAATATGCAAGTGGGCTTTTTCCTTCATTATCAAGAAGTGTTTCCCAATTCCTGGTACGGGTAACATAAGTCACAAGTGGTGTCAACTGTGAGGGGATGGCATGTCTACATGATCGTTGCCCCCGCCCAGGGTTTTCCCAGATGTGCTTTTTTTCTCAAATATGAGTTTTTGCCACTAGGTTTTTTGCCTGGCCCCATATCATCGGGTGGACGGTAATCCTAGACCCTGGTCCATGGACTGGGGATAGGTATTATTCCCACTTTGACTAGTTGCGTTCACTTTGTGAATAAAGGAGGGGATTGTTGGGAATAATACACTTTGCCTATATTTACCCAGGGCTTAAGATACAGATGACCGGCTGGCCAGTCTTTCTAAAATTGGTTAACATGTCAGCTATTTGCAATAATATATTTTATCTATATCCAATGCTTAGTGAATATACCCCTAGACAATAAATATCATGTAACAAGTATTAGGTGTTAAGAGCTGTAGCACACATAGGTGTTATATCCTGTATTGTTCTGTCTGTCTGCCTTATTTTCTGTTTTTCTCCCTTTGATCATAACTGCATTGTAATGTTTAATTTAGAATTTAGTAGTAAATATCTTTAATTCGTAGTGCGCATGCATGTTAATTTGAAGTGCGTAGTTATAGTGAAATTTAGCTTTGAGCAAAGCCCTAATAGGAAGATACACCTGCAAGCTTGCTATAGGTTAAGATGCTTAGATAAGATAAATGGTTTTATTAGGATTGGATAATGCTTGTAATGACCACCTCGTTTCCTGCTGTATAAAACCTGTTACACGGCTCATTAAAAGCTCAGAAGTCACTTTGAACCTTACTTTGTCTTATCTCGTTCATTGGGGTGTCTCACCATATGGTTTGGGGACAAGGAGAAATACAGAGAATTGCAAATTGATACAAAAATGCATGGCAAGGGAAAATTCCTGACAGAGAAAATTCCTCACTATCAGGCACCTCAAAAGGGATATGATAACATTATACCAATATATTCAGGCCAGTACAAACAATTATCTGGAAATATATTCATAAACAGGGCTATACATAAGACATGGGGTCACACATGTAAGCTGGAAATAAGGAGATTTAGTCTAAGGCAAAGAAAATGTTGTTTGTTTTTTTTTACCATAAGAACAATCAGGATGTGGAATTCTCTGCCTGAAGAGGTGGTTTTATCAGAGTCCATACAGATGTTTAAACAGCAATTGGATAAATACTTGCAAAAACATAGCATACAGGGATATAATTTCTAATTAGTGGCAGATATCTGACTGCCATTTTGGATTCAGTCAGAAAGGCCCCCAATGGCAAAAGTTCTGGCTCAAATAAATACACAAACAAATACTTTACTCACCACTGGGCCCACACACGACCCTTCCATACCACTGCTTTGGAAGCCTCAATAACCCTAATCCCTAAACCTAATAAAAAACACTCAATATGTCGCAAATATCATGTAATTTTGTAAAAAAAATGTACATTAAAATATTCTCTCGAATGCTGACCAATTGTCTTAAACCACATCTTAATGTTTTGACCATGTATAACTAGGGTAGCCAGGGATAACACCGCAAAAATTATCAATATTTTGCATAAAGTAGTTGTACAGGGAATAACAACTCTTGCTGCAGAAAAGCATTCAGCATAGTAGATTGGTCCCTATTTTTCAACACCTTGGGTGATATGGGTATTGGCTCAATTGGCAGAATGTAGTTCTTCCCTTCTTTACAAATCATTTTTACAGATATGATTTGGTAAGAGGAGGTTCAGGAGGTTTGGGTTTTCATTTATAGAGAAAGTTTGCTAGCGCTTTTCGATTAACCAACTCTCCATCCCCCCGAGTCCCAATCTCACACAACCCAAATTTCCTGCCTAGGGAGTCAGGACTGTACTTGCCTGGCCTGTGCCAACTACCATTTGTGATGCTGAGGGACATCACTACAGGACACACAATCAAACCTTCTTGGATGACATCTGACATCATCAAATAACACAATTTGTCACCACTCTGATCGGGAAGACTCCTGTAGGTGAATGTATTATATTTGAAAATTGGTGCTAGTAATCCACTGCACAGCTTTACAAGAGAGTTTGACTTGTTCCAGTCAAATACACCCTCAGACTGGAACAAGATTTTTTATTATGCACACAGAAACTTAATGAATATCCCTCTGATTGAAATGCATTTCAAATTACTATCTAGGTGCACAGAACCCCTAAAATGTTACATGCCAGAGTGGTGTTTGAGATGTGGGGAGGGAGAGGGTACATACATACATACATATATGGTGGGAATGTGCAGGCTTTCTGAAATATTATCATGAGATTCTATCAATTATCACTCAACTTGCTAAAACTCCTTAGTTACACTCCAAGAAATCTTCTTTCACCTTTCACCAATACCAAGGAAGTAATAAATTAAATCTCTAGAATTTCATCTAATTAACACAGCCAAGGCACATATACCTAAATACTTTCTTTTTATTGCTGAACATGATTTTTTTAAATGATGCACTGTTTCTTCCAAATTATGCCACGTGTAACTACCCACGCTGTTAGTAAACTCTATCAATTAAAAATTTCAATAAAGTGTAAGTAAAAATACAATAACAGAAAAATAATTGTTGTGGAACTTTAGTCATGTCTTTGATCAAAAGGTAGATACTACTTTATCACCAAGTCATACAAGATATAGATCCCTTAAGAGACAAGGTAAAGTCCTTTTGAAACTCCTGCACACAAACCACTACTATGATGCACGGTAAGTCATCAAATAACACAATTTGTCACCACTCTGATCGGGAAGACTCCTGTAGGTGAATGTATTATATTTGAAAATTGGTGCTAGTAATCCACTGCACAGCTTTACAAGAGAGTTTGACTTGTTCCAGTCAAATACACCCTCAGACTGGAACAAGATTTTTTATTATGCACACAGAAACTTAATGAATATCCCTCTGATTGAAATGCATTTCAAATTACTATCTAGGTGCACAGAACCCCTAAAATGTTACATGCCAGAGTGGTGTTTGAGATGTGGGGAGGGAGAGGGTACATACATACATACATATATGGTGGGAATGTGCAGGCTTTCTGAAATATTATCATGAGATTCTATCAATTATCACTCAACTTGCTAAAACTCCTTAGTTACACTCCAAGAAATCTTCTTTCACCTTTCACCAATACCAAGGAAGTAATAAATTAAATCTCTAGAATTTCATCTAATTAACACAGCCAAGGCACATATACCTAAATACTTTCTTTTTATTGCTGAACATGATTTTTTTAAATGATGCACTGTTTCTTCCAAATTATGCCACGTGTAACTACCCACGCTGTTAGTAAACTCTATCAATTAAAAATTTCAATAAAGTGTAAGTAAAAATACAATAACAGAAAAATAATTGTTGTGGAACTTTAGTCATGTCTTTGATCAAAAGGTAGATACTACTTTATCACCAAGTCATACAAGATATAGATCCCTTAAGAGACAAGGTAAAGTCCTTTTGAAACTCCTGCACACAAACCACTACTATGATGCACGGTAAGTCACACACATGGGAGAAATGGCATACATTTTTTTTCTTTAGTACATAACTCTTACTTGCGCATTGATGGGTTTCTTATCCCAGGCTCAGCATTGAACCAGATTACACAATGTGACACAGGATAGATAACTTTGTCTGATCACGCTCATTCTCAAAGATCTCTATGACCCGAAACATCAAAGTCCATAGAGACTTAGTATCTGGCTTTCATGCAAGAATTACAGCAAGAAATAAAGTTATACTTCCAAAATAACAACACATCAGAAATTTAACACAACATGTTATGTCTAGTACACAAACATGTCCTGAGCAGTTTGCTCATACATAGAGCCTCTTACTTGCAGAAAAAATTCCAAGCTCAACTACAAAATGGCAGACAGAATAATACTCCCTGACAATACAGAACCAAGTCAATCCTACCACAGATTTGAGAGATCAGATAGCTCAAATCAGTAGAAATATTAATAAACAATCTGTAGACAAAACCGTATACCACTTAAATATATTGAATGCCACTCACTATACCCAGGGCAATAAAACAGGAAAGCTCCTAGCCAAAACACTTAGAACTTAACAGACTAATAAAAATTAGCCTATTTATTGTCACACACTGTTGATAAAGTATTGGCCCTTTGCACAATATTACTCCAAATTGTATAACTTACGGACAGATGATCACATTCATCAGTCACTGATATCAACACTTTTCTAGACTCTATCCCCCTACTCAAAATGTCAGCATTACACACTGGCAAACTACCTACACAACCACAAAACTTCATACCTTACATAGTTACATAGTTACATAGCTGAAAGGAGACTTGCATCCATCAAGTTCAGCCTTCCTCATTGTAGCAAACTCACCCCTTTAAGAGAGTTTGCCATGAGCTTTTGGAGGGGCCTGCTTGCCCGCCTCCTGCCATGTGACTATGGCCCTGGGGTATTGCCCTTTAAAGACAGTATTTGGGCATATTGTATTTTACTGCACTGTTTCTGGCCCTTTAAGTACTTTGGGAAAAGACCTGCAGTTTTGGCTTGGCACTTTGGATGCCGCCGAAGTGCCGAAGTAGTCGAAGTGTCCGCCATTCGAAAACCGAACATGTGGTGGCAGCCATTTTGATTCATTCGAACGCGGTCAGCGGTGTGTGCCGTCAAATCTATGGAACTGTTTTCGGCT